CAAAAACTATTGGCATTTATAGCATGATTGATGATTTTGCGTGGGTGAGGCACGTTCCTCCATTAAGGGAACATAGTTAGTGGGGGGGGGCTACTGCTAGTAGTAATAATAGCAGTAGCAGCAGCAGCACTATGATGCTACGGCAACTGCTATTACTACTGCCGAGCCACTGCCAGCAATCGGACCTTACTACTGCTGCTTTTACTGCCATCACTGCTTGTTCTGTTACTACTACGCCTACTACTGCTACAATCATAGGAAGTTGGAAGAAGAGGAGGAGGAGGAGGCGTTAGCATCGGCACAGACAATGACAAACGCGGCGAAATGGCTTCCGATAAACATGACGGAAGTACAAAATGTATGTCGGCGATGCTAGCCGAATGTCGAGATGAAATCTGGCATGCCCCTGAATTTCTTAGCCCCAAAGCATGAGGACTACAAGTCCGATCCTAGTGCTAGTACCAATTCACCACCACCCACCACCCACCCCCACCACCACCGCCACCACCTGCAGCCGCCACAACAGTCCCCATAATGTACCTCTCACACCTTGTTTGGGCTTGTGTGGAGGGTGCCCTCTTCACGGAGTTGGATTGGGGGTAGGTGTCGGGGGGGTTAAGATGCAGATGGGGCGTGGGAGAATATGTTTCCGCATGTTTCCAGGGTTTCTCGAGGTATGTGTTTCGGGGACATGTCTCGCTCACTCCAACCCCTTACACCTGGGCCAAAATGCAGGCGCCTATTTGAGGAAACCCCCTCGCTGCCGAGGCGCTAGACAATGCCTCTAGTTGCCCCGTATCTTCGCTCTCCGGCTCAGCGGAGGGACTCCCAGGAAGGCCGCGAGAGCCTTCAGGGCCTTTACTTGCAGGTTCTTAAATTAGAATCAATATGGTAGCTCCCAAAATAGGAGGACCCCCACATAGACCCCAAAATATTGTAATCCCCGTTATGGGGACCCTCAAAACGGTACCCTTCATTTCCACGTCCCCATATTACGCGGACTACTGCAGCGCTGCTCGACATGTGCTCCAGGATGGCTACAGGGAGAAATTCAACGTTGATAGGGGCCAGGATAAAAGATGCTAACTGGTGGCGTTGGATTCCTCTGGTTGCAGGTTAAGGTAGGACTTAGGGGCTTAGGGTTGAAGGTCATCATGGCATGATGGCTGCTAAGTCTTAGGTGTAAGCATACCACCCTTCTAAGCCACATAATCGCCGCAGATATCCGGATTCTTGACCTGCTTGATAAGTCCCCCGAACACCCTTCAGGAGCCCTCATCTTTTGTAGATCCCGGGTTTAGGGGGACTCTCAGGCTACCTTGGAGAACACTGTCAGGACCGCTTTTGGAAGAGTTCTTCTTCAGCACCTGCGGATTAACACATGCTTCGCACCCTAAAGTCTTTCATATTGCCTTCTTTAAACTATTTGAAAGATAGGGCAAGCTTCATCATCGCAGCATGGCAGTTGCACCTGAAGCTCTATTGTGATGGCCCCAAGGCTCTTGATCCTTCAAAGCCACTTTTCGTCTGCGAGCCTCCCAGTGAGACCGACATCGTGGCGGTTCTCAGCTTAGGCCTGGGAAATCATATGGGGTTATATAGGGATGTATGGGGGTTATATGGGGTTATACGGGGCATGTTTGCTACACTTCGGCACGAAGTGGTTGAGCGAAGCCACAAGTTTCGCAGTCAAATTGTTCACAGTCCCTAGTACTCTACATCTATGAATCATGAATGCTCAGGCCTTTGGAGCATCACCCCCATGAATGACTTGGGAGCATGTGCCCTTCTCCCATGCTTCACGCATGCAAGGTCCCTCCATCTAGATCTTTTAGTGACAAACTCGAGTGGCAGAGGCTAGGGTGGTGCTTCAGAACGGCTTAGCTCAGAATCCTTCTTCCTGTGCGCGCAATCCCGTCTGCGTAAAATTGTGAGAGGGCCCTCTAATCTTGTGCGACCTCATGAAAAGACGACCGCGATAGCACAAACCAAGAACAGTCTGAAGCGGTATCTATGAGCAAACTGGAAAGCTTGTGTGATAACACACTGACGTTTCGCACGGTGTGCTGTATGCCGCCTGCGTGTGCGACAGCAGCCGGCTTTGGCCAAGCCATCCACAAACTCCTGGAAACATCACGAGAGCTCTCTCAAAAGCACCACACTCCTTCAAAAACGTGCCCTAGATGGGCCAGGTACCATTCCAGAGATCGGCTACTAACAAGACACACATTAACAGCCGCAGTAAAGGCAAGGCCCCAGAAAAAAACAAGGAGCAGAGACACCTAGTCTCCTAACGGCCCTACCCTCCCCAGATAAGTGGACCCCAATAAGCCCTCCTTGTGGTTGAGCATGTTGTCCGGCTGCGTGTTCAGTGCCGTAAAGGCAGCATCTGTGCTCTTCCAGTTTCGAATCATGAAGACCACCACCTGAACAGCTTGTGCCAATCCAAGCAGCATTCATCATTTAATACGTAATTGCGGAGGAGTGCAAAGCAAGAATGGCACGTTGTCGAGAGCACTGACAATATCTCACATGTGAATTGCCGCAGTAGCCAAGCTGGAGCTACGTTCCTTAGCATTGCAGGTGCATGATTGGCAAAATGCCTCTGAGACACGTGGTCTTCAGGGTGGGTTGCAAGGAACCTTTCCGCAAGCTGCCTTCTGCTAAACAAACCTGGAATCATGCAATAAGCACCGCTGAAACCGGTCGTCATAAAGCGCGCCCTGCGTTGCGCGTTTCTTTGGGTGCATGTGAGTCATAGTCTAATCTCCTAGTATCCACCTTAATAACCCCTACAGTACGTAGTCCCTTATATAACCCCCTTTAAGGAGTTTAGACTATGGTTCATGTTGAAGCCACATCTGAATGACACTCTGTCTTGGACAGGCCTTCAGCACTTCCGACGGTACGTCTTCAAGGCAGGACCTTGCTACTAACAGACTTGCGGGTGGTTTGTGGGGAATACGGGAATATAGAGTATAATATATGGTTATATAAGGATGGCCTGGCACGTAATGCTCAGAACCACACTGGGACTGCGCATTTGTTCACACTGAGAGTGTCTTAGGCCTGGATGGTTGAGTCAGGAGTCAAAACCCTAATCCCTGACCTGAGTCAGATCTTCAAAGCTTGTCATGTTGGGCGAGTCAAGATGGTTGTCAAATGTCTGCCAAACATAGGTTAATGCCCACCTACTCAGCCAGCCAGTCCCCATCATTTACGCCTTCATCACGCGTATGGTCGATTTATATATCCGGTCGTAAGGATCTCTCATAGCGATGTCCAAAACCCTGAAACCTACATACCTGTATGCATGTGCATACATGTACACTGCCATGTACCCCTCGTGGTCACAAACAGCGAACCACACTTTCGACAAGCCTTCGGCCCCATATGTACTGCATTGCATAATCCATGCCAAGCCCTGAAGGCCCTAAACCCTCAACCCTTAGGCCCTGAACCTTCAAACTCCTTAAGGTGAGCCGTTCTTCCGCGGAGCTGCCAGAAATCAAATGCAGTGTCCGGCAGGTTCGCCCAGCCGCCGATGCTGGCTGCAAGGCGCCGCCGCACCTGCTGTTGCCAGACCCAGGTTTAGGATTTAGGGTTTAAGGTCCCTCAGACCCCACAAAAAAAGGAGTTATGTAGGCGCATATAGGGAGGACCCAATAATGGAGTTATATGGGGGTACATAGAGATCATGGAAAAGCCGTTTTGCCGGGCAGTGGAAGACTTTCCCACAACATCATATGGCGATTTCTTTCCAATTCATCTTTTGACCTCCCTGTAACGAGGCCCATCTTTCTGTGGACGTGGATAGGTGGACGCAAATTGCGATAAACTATCTCCACCACCCTCAACAAACGTTACCCATTATCCTTGTTTTGAGCACCTTTCAAGATTACGTCTATGTGATTCCTAATTTGGACTCCCTGCATGGGGTGTTGTCAACATTCTCTTCACTTTTCCAGCCCTATACTTAGGATTGTTGATTCCAAATGTCCTATACGTGAACCGTATCTTGACAAACTGGTGCTGCTAGCCCCCACCATGCCAGCAAGGAGACATGCGATGCAATAGCAAAACACCAGCAGCGATGATGAGCAGCGTCATCACAAGGACAGCAAAGCTTCAAATCTGCCTGCCTCCACCACCTCTCACCACTGTTCACAATGCAAGAAACCGTATGAGAATCCGATAGCGATTTCGTGTGCCTTGTGTGGGTGGGTAGGGGATGGCAGACCGTAAATCATTCAGCCACGTGTGCTGACACAACTCGGGCTGCAAGTGCTTGCTGTATTGAATCCGGCACTCAACGGGGCGGGTACCTATGGTGAATTCAGGCCTTGAGGTTCTGGCGGTCCACAGCACAGTTGTAACTGCCTGTGGGGCAGGTGATATGGAGGCATCAAGATTGAGCCTGAAGGGTGCGATTTCTCAGAAACTTTGGGTGTTCAATGCGGTACAGCAGAAAAGCTGGGCAAAAATTGGTGCCCTCAACCCCAAAACCTGTTAGGCCTCGCAAGTTTGGGGCACTCCTTTCTAGTGCTGCTAGAGGCCTCGAGGTACGAGTTACTGTGCCAACGCTCATCGGCCAGGCTTCAACACTGCGGCGCGACTAGAACTACGTGGCACTTAGGCCCCTACTAACAGTTAGCCCTTACGTACCTATATTCGGAGTAAAAGGGAAGCCCAAAGGGTCAAGGTTCTAAGGTCCAAGCTAAGTCCCAAGGAGAGCAGTTCAGTTGTGTGATTGCTTGCTTGGAGATTATCATTCTCCTTGGTCAACATGTGAGCTCTGTGGCAAGACTTTTAATGGGTTGAGGTTGGTGTTGCTATTTCTGCGAATTCTGACCTGCTTTAGTCTTGCAGTGCGTGCCACTCGCTCATCTTGCTTCAGCTTTGACAGGCTCTAGCTGAGGCTGCAGCACTGCATGATCCCCTGGGCAAGCACGTTGTCCCACTCGGCCCAGGAGTTGGGAATGCCTGACACCCAGGAGCTGGAATTTAACCTCCGGTACCTAAGAGGTCAGACTATTAGAATATGGTTTAGGGTTTAGGGCTTGGGTTTGGGTTTAGGGTTTACCCCAAAAGCAACCCCTGCAACTTCTGCACTAATGTAGAAACTGCCCTGCCTGCCACAAATGGTTGGAAAGCAGGCGCATTTGGGTTCGCGTCCTTGTCCAACACGGGGTTCTTGATGTTCCTGTACAATTGTTGCTGCGTTGCAATGTATGGAGCTTGGTCTACCACTCCCAGATGAGAGTCGAAGAGCCCTCGCATGTAGAAGGAACACATTAGATGGCAGCATTCGATCACGCCAACGATCAAACATTCGGATGACGTAGCACATCGAACGGGGCAAGCAGAATGGCCTGGCCGATAGCCACGATGGTACAAATCTTCGTCAAATGAGACATGTTCCAGCGAAGTTGCTAGGGCTACCAGAATACTGGGGCAAACGACGGAGTAGGGTTTGACGTTCCTAGTAGATCAGGACACATACCCATCAATGCAGAGGAGGAGCACGGCATCTTCGGCATTCGACAGCCGAACAAGCGTGTGTAAGCATCGCCGCTGTTCCCATTGGGCCAGGTCAATGGTGTGAAAGGACATCTCCTGAGACAATCTCTGCTACTTGAGATGATGGAGATCTGGAGATCCAAGTACTTAACATTTTGGCGGATTCGGTACTACTGCCCCTCCTAAACTAAACCAATCCCACCTTGACATCCTCTTTAATCATGACACATGCCACATGCTTCTGAATCTGTGGCCCAGGTTCTGGCTGACCATAAGGAAAGAGGTTCATGTAGCCCAACCTGCTTGCTTCAACGTTTCAGCATTCAACGTTTCAGCATAAGCCACAACTCTGACGAAAAGCCTCTTCCATACAGATCTTGGCCCCACACTTTTCGCTGAGGCTCTTCCAATGCTGTTTTGCAAACTTTGGCTGGCAACCTGGGACAGGCGTTGGGGAGAATTTGCGAGGGGGCCAACAAGGCTCCACGCTATAAGGCCTAAGTCCGCACTGAAATCCCAAACAAGCGCAAATGAAGCCTTGACACTGGACTCGGAGTTGGGGTTAGCTGGCAAGGGAGGGGGAAAGACTGAGCCGAGGAGCACTTGCCATTGATGGGCCAATCGACGCAGCGTAGAAACATCATGCAAAGAATGGTGGCTCGATCATCTCCTTTGGTGCAAGAGCTTTGAAACTTTTGCTGAGTGCGAGGAAGAGGATTAGGGGGAGAATGAGCAACAGGAGGCTGTAGCAGCAGGAAGTAAGTGAGCAGGAATAGCCAGAAAAAGCAGCAGCAGCAGCAGCCGCCGCCCATCTGCCAAGACACCAAGCAGCAGCTGCAAGTCTTGTTTTGTTTCTTTCTAAGCAGCACAGGCAACCAACCTGACAGGGACTCCTGCCGCCTGGAGACTGCAAGGTATGATGACAAGGCAGCCACCACTCATCAACAGCTTTGGGACATCAGCTCCAAATTTCTGACCCCCCATTTATAAGTTTATAGTTCCACGTAAGATCACGTAAGCTCACCCAGAAAGTTCAATCGCAACATGCCGCCAAACAGCCAGTGAATACAGTCGCCTCATGCATGCCTGGCTGTAAGTAAGTCGCAGTTACCGAGAAGAACATGCATGGGATAGTCAATCTGATGATCATGCTGTCATGCTCATCAAATACCCTCAAACAAGCGAAGGCTCCAACGGCATGAAACCTGCGTCGTACTGCCCTCAATAAGTCGCCGAGGCTCTGTGTAGAAAGACGCAGAGAAGATTTCGCCTGGGTTGCTGCTTTGTGGCGCGGTCATAAGCAATACAATTTTCTTTTTAGCGCACATGTTTGCTACTGACGTATTGTTCTGCATCTATTCTTCCCTGTACTGGTCATTCATTGTAGCAGTTAGTGCAATACAGTACTGGCACAAACTACCACCATCGTCAGTAGCTGCAGCAGCACCGCCACCGCCACCTCCGCCGGTGACGCCGCCACTACCAAAAGCACCACCGCGACCATGACCATGGCAAAGACCACAACCAGGGCGAACAACACCAACAACACCATCACCACAATAAAGACGACACTAACTGCACCACTACCACAACCACCACTCTTTTTCTTCTTGCTTCTACTACTTCCATCCCGTTCTCTAACAGCAACTCAGTCGCAGCTGCCGGGAGAGAATCCAAACTCTTGAGCTGATGCCTCGAAGCGCCCAGTCTGCCTCTCAAGATTTCAAGCCTGCTTGAGTGACCCCAGGGATATGTTACGGGAACATTGGGGGTTGAGGAACAGATGTATGTACATGGATCTTGGCTTCCAGGTTTCGGTATTCTGAAGATATGAGTCCACCATCAGGTATCCTTGAGATGAAATTGCGAAGGGATTGTGGGTTCGCCGGGCAAGAGGGTTCAAGGCTTCTTTGCAGAAACTTCGCTTTCAGAAAATCTAGGTGCGTAATTCAGCGTTCCATGGCCCAGGGCACCCATCTCTGTGATCATGCGGCCGGAAGGGCACCAACAGGTCTGCGCGACGCTGCTTGCAGGGTGTAGCCTGATGCCCTTGTGACTCCCAAGCCCCAAGCCACAACACCCAAAGTACAAAAACTTACCAATCCCCCAAATTTACGATCCCTACATCAACAACATACACCAGGCCGCAAATTTCTCCCACGCTTCCCCAAAAACCACTGAGGCCTGGCTGACCTTGGCAGCCTCCTGAGCCTCGTCCTGGAAAATTGTTTCAACAAATCAGAGTTCAAAGTTTAGGAGGCTATGGAGAGAGCAAAGAGGTGACACGCATCCTTCATGAGCCCACAACATGAAGGAAATAACCACTATGATTCAGAAACAAAATCATGTGCCAAAGAAAAATGAAGCTGAAGCTATGGGCGATGCGCAGCCATGATGGATAATCTGAGAAATTTTCATGTCGCTGAGAAGCCAGTCGTGACGAATCACATCTTTCCACATACAGCGGAGGCCTGGGTCGCAACTCAGGTCCGCAAGATACCCTCCTTGACTGCAAGCCGCCAGGTTGAAAGGGCCCAATCAAGGCACTTCGTGCTGCTGTGTCCTCTTCGGTCATATCGTTCTTCTTCTTCGGGGTCAGAACTGCCTGTCAGGGCATCATTTCTGGAATCGCTGAAGTCCGTACAGCTCCTGCAATTCGTTTCTGCTTATCTTCGAAGTATCTCCAGCTTTCAACATCGCTCTTTGGAATCCCCAGTGAGAAAAGCTGCCAGTGCCATTCCAGCTCATATCAAGCCCCCGATTCCCCGCCATCAACACGAAGTATTTTTGGCCTACACGAGGATTCTCTGGTCTGGTGGAGAGAAACTGCTGAGGCGATTCGGCTTGGGGCCTAGATGCACGACCATGCTTCCGAGAAAGTGCTATTGCGTGCGCTAGCAGAGCCGCACAGCGCAAAGTTCCGCCTGCGCTTCGGCTAGCTGCGTAGTCTAAGGACAATGCAACGCTCTGCAAGTTATGCACAGATTTGAATGTTCCATGATGAGTTCCTGAGGGCCCTACAGGATGGGAAGGTTTGGGCAAGTCACTGCTGGACAGTCAGGCATGAATGAGAACCAGCGACAGACATCTACACAGATGATCTCATTAAAGTCCTTTGCGCTATTAACAAGAAGTCATGTACAACGCCTTGTTCGTAGTACTGCTGCAAATATAGACAAAGTTCTCCTGGCCATGAGACCGGCCAGGATCCGAAGAGCACATACGCAAGCCTGTCACATGCCTAGTGATCAGTGCCAACTGTCTTTAGAGGACACTGCCTAGTCCCAGTCCCATTCACTTTGTCTCCTGCAACTTTGGTGGCAACATGGACACAGGCACATGACTTCTGCTGGCAACCTCGTCATCGCGGTTTTTCTTAGGTTGGTATCTTCGCTCTGTCTCATTCTATTCTAGAAGCATTATGGGCATTGTGTTGCCAGCAAAACATGTATCACAAAGGTACCAGAGATCAGCTTTCCTTCATAAGACTCGAGCTTCACCAGACATACAGCAAAGGAAGTCAAGCAGCTAGTTGATCGCCAGCCATTTTTGAAAAGCGTTCACTTTAAACCCATGCATCTCTGAATATCCCTACATGCCCCGCGCACGACTACGCCCGACTACCCAAATACACTCCAAAATACTATGGTCCCTCCTTTTTTTTTGATAAAGTCTACCAAGAAAGCGCCCCTTAGTCTTGGGAACCCCAATATGGGAGTTGCTCAAAGTATTCCCTATAGGATCCTCGGCAGGGGTCTCCATCTTCCCTTCTTGAATCCCATACATCTATCACTAAGGTCTTTAGGGGCCCCCCATTTTGAAAAACCTCCGGAGAAGTGTCCTTTGTACCCTTAGGGCTCGTGCCCTTGGAGTTGTGTCCCTAAACCATGGAACATGGTCCCAAGGTACTTGGGACCCCAAAGCCAAGGTTACGAATCTTAAGGGTACAAACGTACTCTCTCCTAGACCTACCCTTGATTCAGGCCTAAGGACCCGCTGTGAAGGGCCACATAACCCCATTACAAAAGGTACTAGGAAGGTCTTAGCTCTGAACACATAAAAACCCTGAGGCAAAGACCTGCAGCGCAGAGAGCACATTGCCCCAGGTTTCGATGGGGACAGGCTTTGCTCCAGCTGGCGGCCTTCGAATGTCAGCCGTTGCCACGATTGAGGTTCATAAATCCGGTATGGGGCTGCAAGAAAGTCATGAATATAAGTGAATCCGTTAAAAGCGTCGCCTCGAAAAAGAGAGATTAACGCTGTTTGGCGGAGCCTTGTGTTTTCGCGGTCCTGGGGTTCCCAGACAATTCGCCATAGCCGAACAAACTATCTATCACATCGAGCTCGATGGAATTTCCTGCTTATGTGGAAGCAGCTCGGACTCACTTTTGCATGATTTTTCAACTCATGAAGCTCCCGCGAAAGTGGACTGGCAGTTTTGAGAAACACGCTAGGTTACACGTCCATGTAATTCTAAATGACCCGGTGTACTGTATTACCACAACTCCAGGTTTGTATGTATCTGGGGGGGGGGTTGGGTTTACATGGTTTGGAGATTTAAGGTTCTGTAGTCTTTGACAGCTGCTTGAAAAATACAAATCGATAGAAGCTCAAACGGACAACTCCACGGTGAACCACTGCCCACTGCCCACCATGAAGAACAACATGAAGCAGGAATACCAACCTCTCTTTTGCTAACCTCCAAGCCCTCAGAGATTAACGTGTGAATCACAGCAGGATCCTAGTATCCACCTTACTAAAGCTTATGGTAGTCCCCAATATCATCCCTCATATTCTCCCATTTAAGGAGTTTAGACTATGGGCCATATGAGTTCCCCCGGTACTTGAGTCTACCGCGGCATTTTGAGGATAGCGGCTGAGCCATTTCTCTTTTCGGATCTTTCTGAAGGTGGCCTGGAATGTACATGGCCCTTGTGCTCCTACCTGACCAGTAGACAGCCCTAACACCTTAACAATCAACCCTAAATCATGAGTCTTTATACCTAAGGTCGAAAATGCAATCCTGACTCCTAAGCCCAGCATGCCGTGGTTAAGTCTTGAATCCTAAGCCCTGAACCCTAAAAGAGCCCCGAATCCTGGCTCGTCAATCCTAGCTAAAAATGGAACCCCAAAGAACCAGCTTCCCACATGCCAAATCTACCCCCCCAACACAACAAAGAGGGGGCCTGTACAGCGCAACAAAGTCGAAGCTCAGAAGGCCCTGCGGAGGAATCCGCCAGTCAACTTCCGAGAAACTTAGCGACTTACCTGGCTTGGGGTGAAGGGCTTCAGGCTGAGTGATTGAAGTCTTGGGGGCTCAGGTTCAGGGCTTCAGGTTGAGGGCTTGGAGGTTCAGGTTTAGCGTTTCGGGTTGAGGGTATGGGCTGCTTCATCCACAGGCTGGCTTCTGGCGGGAAAAGAAACCATACTTCTTCCAGCTACCAATGTTGGAGCTTCTTTCGACTTGAACATGGCTACTTCGATGACGACCGCTGTTTCTGATGAGGCTCTCCCTCCTTTCCTGTTCCTCGTCCTCCTGCTCTTCCTATCGCTGTCCCTCCTCCTACCAGTACGACCACCTTTGTGGGATGTCAGATGGTGTCGCGAAATTCTCCGCACCAGCGAGGGCTGCATTTCCAAGTGTAGATGGCCAAAGCACCCAGGCAAAATCGTTGCTTACATTGACACCGTGTCGATATCCCCGGTACGACATTTGAGGAATCTGGCTGACCTTGCGCGGCCAGCCAATGAACGACGACAACAATACGCACCGCGTAAGCAACAGCAAATATGTTTGCAAGAACCTTTTATGTGCAGTTGAGCTGACTACAAACAGATAGAAAGAGCAACGCTTACCTCGCAATAATAAAATAGCTTCCCTCCCTTTGTTGAACAATTGGTTTGGGAGGGGTTCCCCGCAATGAAGGTCCCAGCCTACATGGTGATCTCAGTAGTACTCGTGTTAGCATTAGTATTACTACGAAAAATTAGTATGAGCATCAGTATTCATATTACTATTAGTATTCGTATCAGTATCAATATTAGTATTAGCATTACTATAGTAACTAATAATAGTCTTAGCCTTCAGGCCTGCTTAAGCACTGCAAGTCTCTAGCATCTTGCAGCTCTGCAGCACTTCTGTACATGGTCAGGCCAGCTTCCGTACTCTAAGTGTTAATATGTGTTAATTATCCTAAACCTCCGCTAGCTTTCAGGCCTGCTGCACCAGTTCCACCTTCTAGTTTTATCTTAGTCCTGTTTGTTGCTCCTAAGTTAGTTTGAGAAATTTGTTATTGTACGGAATTTTATCGGTGGCCTTGAATATTGTTGTTGTAGGGCGAGTGACTATTGTGAGATCAACATTATGCATCATTGCGGCTCCAGTTGCCATCCAGCAAAGCATTTCGCAGACACTTCCTGGGCGCAAACTGGTGGTGATATCCCGGGTGAGTTATCCCCCTAAACCCTAAACCCTAAACCCTAAACCTAAAAATCTCCTCTAAGGCTCTAAGGGAACCTGGTAGATCCCTGTCCAAGAGGCACCACGTCAGAAAAACACGGCAGCAGGTGCCAATGTTCAATGGTTAGCTCACCTCTATGCTGTGACTGCACAAAAGTCCCTGCCCTGTTGCCTAGGTACCCTGAAGAAGAAGGGGTGAGTCTGAGAATTGGTCCTGTATCATCCCAAACAGTGTAACTCAATGGTGCATAATCCCCCTCTACCGCTTATCCAGCACCATTGGCGTATCTAGGGATGCACCTTAAGTGACTCTGCTCAAGCCAATCTTCTTGCTTGTTGTGCAACCAAGCCACCCCTTGCCATCCATGCTGACATCAACCTCGTGGCTCTTCATAACAGATTCCAGTTATGGACCCGTTGTTGGGGGGTTCACGGCAGTGGGGCTTGGAGGTGTTGAGGGTATCTCCGCCGCTGGTTGTTCGTCCATGGTTATCACAACATCCTCCCCGATATTCAGAAGATATTTTGGTGTTGGGCATGTCCTTCTATCTCTCTCGGCATCTCCAAAGATGCTGGATATACCCCAACCTATCCCAGAAATCCTTGCACCTACCCCAAAAGGGATAGATGACTGCCTGCGTGGTCAAGGCCCTGGGATCTGCAGTTTTGTCCCCGACTTTGAGTGGGGAATGGGCTAGAGGGACTGCTATATGCTACATAGAATATACCATAATATACCACAAGATGCCGTATGATATCCTGTAATACAGTGCCATAATATACCATAATGTGCAATGATATACTATAATATCCTATAATATAGTACCATAATATACAATAATATGCCATAATACACTATAATACACTATAATATCCTATAATATAATACCACAATATACCATAATATGGGGACTGCTACAAAGAAGTCTACAGGCACTTGCTGAGTGCAGGCCCAGCGGCAAGGTTTGCCTTGCGCCAGAGATGGAGCTGCCATCGGTTCAGTAGGAGGAGCTTCTGGACAACCGTTCGCGTGGGCAGCAGATCCTGTACATCAGGGCTCAAAAGGTGGGATGAAGGTAGGTGGGTTAAAGGAGCCATGGTATATACTCTACTATATTGGGGCTTATTTCCTATACCCCACCTTCCTTTACCCCACCTTTTGAGCCCCCTGAGTACAGGGCTCTCAAATTTGCCGGTCCTTTGTTGGGCCACTTTCGCAAAAGGACCAGAAGGGGGCGCTTCTGGCGTTTTCGAAGCCAAGCATTAGACCCCCGAGAAATGGACACATCCAGTGCCCTCAGGGAAGCCTTGTTATCATCGAATAGGCGCCATCCAGTATGGAGAGCGCTCACTCAAAGAAATTAGGGCCCCAACTTTGTAGAGGGTCCCATTTTCAGGGGGTCAGGGTTGCTAAAACCATCTTGCTATTTGGCTAGAGGCTGGCAGTTTAAGGCGTGTGTAGGTCGTAGACTCGTCTTGGACCACAGTGACCCTGTGACAGCTTGACCTCAGAAAACACTTAATATTTTGGTGGTTTCCCAAGATTAGGGGTACCATTATGGAGGTACCTGTAACAAGGACTATAGTATATTGGGGTCTATATTGGGGTACCCTAATTTTGGGAAACTACCATTTTGGGGACGTACCTGAGATGGGACCAGAGCGTCGGAAACTGAGCTTTGCACACTAGCACCTCGTACTGCCTGAATGCTGCCCAGGCGCCAACCGCAGGACATAGTGCCCCGTGGGGTTCTCCAAGTTCAGGGACATCGGAGCTCGCGCAGATCTCTCGAAATCCAGGATATCCTCACGGAGATCCAGTGTGAGATGTTATATGTAACCACACACATAAATATGTACACATATAATTGAAACCCTGAATACGCTACCTGATAATTGATGATCCATGCCCCCCAGCTATCCGCCTTTGGGAATTGAGATTCACAATTTCGCACCCAAGGCTTCAGTAGGAAATTCAGTTCGCAGAGGGTAAAACACAAAGACCCCATCTTCCGGCCTAGATGAGACACAACGGCCAATGATGATATTATAGACGTAAATTCCCGTGTCCACAGGTGACCGTGCCCCAACATCAAATGCTGTACCATTTCAATCAGGCGAGTAACTCTGGCTTGCCTCAAAAGCTGGACAACTCCATACAAATTAACAACTGCTACCGCACTACTACAAGCACTTTGATTCACAGAGCTGCTCTGCTTTACCTGTCAGTCTCAGCCTTCTTGTGATCATTCATCATATTCGCTTCATGTGAGCCCTGGAGAAAATTTGTAGCATATCCCTTAATAGGTCCCCCCAAAACCCTATATAGTCCCCTATAGGTCCCCCCAACCTAAGTTTAGTCCGTAGCTGATGTTATGCTCCAGGTCGGCCTTGATGGAGTCGGTGTTCGAGGCGGCGTGGAGGAGAGCCCTGGGATTCAAAGCGGCCGGCAGCATCCGAATCAGAGTCTCTTTGGCTTTGTCACCTTGGAGATATACAGGGTTATACAAGGGTTATATAGCAGATATATACGGTGTATACGGTGGCTTTAAAAGGGAGAGTCTCTTTGGCTTTGTCACCTGGTCCACAATGTGGTCCCAGGCGAAGAGGCAAGTTCATTTTTTGAGCAAGCGTCGCCCTGCCATCTGTTTTTGACTTTTTTTCGCAGTGGGGCCAGATAGCTAGATAGCAGAGCAGGGCGAGATGTAGCTCGGAATAGCGGAATAAGCCATTCTTCGGAAAAAATGCCTTTCCTCTTCCGGGCTCTTAACCCTCAACCTTCCATCTTTTCAGAAATCAACCACGGCAGGCCCATCTTTGCAGTAATCTTTCCTGGGGAAACCCGGCTGTGCCAAAGGGTGATCCTGTTCATGGGAGTGGTGCGTGAGGATCACCCTGCCTTTCAACCCCCCAAAAATGATTGAATGACTGTAGTCCAGCACTCGAAAGCCTGAAGCTCTCAAACCCTAAACCCTAAAACGCCTTGGTTCATGTAGATGGCCATCACCTTGCAGGGTGATGCAGGGAGGCAATGAATTCCGCAAGAGTCTCACAAAAACAGCTGCATTAATGCCTTGGAACCGTGCGATTTTTTCTGGCAAATGACAGGTTGCATGAAAGGCTAGGGCCTGTAAGCCTTAAGGTACCTGCCTTTTTGTACCCCATGGCCCTCCATATAACCTTTCAAAACCCGTCCAAAGGGATCATCCTAATGTTGGACCTCCTTTATTGAACCGGTCCCCTGAAAATGAGTTTTGGGGCCCGCCTATTCAGGATCAGGGCAATGATTGCAAGGCCCCCTATAATGAGTTTTGATTTTGGGAGCCTAAACATATAGGAAGGATTCTCAACAATCCCTTTGAAATCAATCCACAGGGACCTCAGAAGCGTGGGAGCTCAGGGGGCCGTATTGAGGATCTCTAATTTCTATTTTCGGAGGGCCCTAATGTTAGCGGGAGACCCCTACTTATGAAAGAGGGTCCAACATTAATCCCTGAACCAAAGCTCCCGATGTAGGGGCTTAAATCATTAGAACAGCGTTCTGGGGTACATTATCCTGTACCCATACAAGGGCTCGAAGTGAACAATAATAGCATCAGGCACTTACCGGAGCCGTAATCCCAATTTAATTCAGCCTCTCTGTAGAACCCAGTTTCTATTTCATTTGCCATGGTCTTGTCCACTTGATTGTCCTTTGTTGTACATAGCCCTGTCTAAGGGTACCACAACAGTACCAGTTTCCAGTTCATTTGCATCTTCTTTTCCGTTCGACCCTATCTCCGGCATTGGGGATAATATTCCTAAACCCAGACCCCTAAATCCTCAACCCTATAAACCCTAAATAGTACTCCCCATTTTGTCTTCCACTATCCCTACATACCCCCGAACTAATCCCTACATACCCTCCATATTCAGCTCCAATATCTGTGGCTCCTTCGAACCCCTAGGCCCTACCCCTAAACCTTAAACCCCCAAGCCCAAAGCCCTGAGCCCTAAACCCTAAGCCCCAAGCCCTAGACCCCAAGCCCTAA